CCCTGTTCTTCACCACCCTCAGAACCTCTGCTGTGCTTAATCCTTTTGTAGCCACTGCTTCTATTTCTTTAAAGGTCTTCCTCTCACTGATCCTCTGCTTTTCCAAGTATAATGTCTTTTTCCAAGGACTGACTGACTGTTCCTGACGACATGCCCAGAGGATATGAGACCAAGTTTCACTGTCCTTACCTCTAAGTTGCAACCTCGCAGCCCTTCCTCCAAGGCAGATAATTCTTCATCACCACCACCACCAAATCCAAAGACTGTTCGTCTCCAGGCTTCCTTATTCATTGTCTAGTTCACACATGCATATGAAGTAATGGTCATTGCCTGTGGCTTTAAAGGCAGTGCTAAGTCTTTACATGGAAATCCTTGTTCACCAGCATTTTATAAAGTACCCTGATCCAGGAAGCATTAAGAACCGCTGGAAGAAGGGAGCTCTGGTGGCCTAGTGGCAAGAAGCTGCACTGCAATCCTAGAGGTACATGGTTCAAATCTACCAGATGCTCTGCTGGAGAAGGAGGGGCAATCTTCTCCTGTACCAGTCAGGTCTAATTTGACGGTACACACGCACAAAAAAAAACAAGGCCCCAGGAATTGACGACATACTAATTGACATATTTCAACAAACAGATGCTGCCTGGTCGCTGTCCTGGACGCACTCACCAGGTTGGGCCAAAAAATCTGGAGAATCTTCTTCTCCGAGAAAACACCGAATGGTGCAGCAGGAGGGCCTGGAGGCCCTGGGGGCCCTGGAGCCCGCGGTGGTTTCTGCAGAGGCTTTGGTAGCGGTATGTGGGGTCAGGGCTGTGGGCCATGGACGGGGCCATGAGAGGGCCCGCAGAGCTCGAGGAAGCAAAGCCAAGGACAAGAAGTGGCTTCCTGTTACCAAACTGGGTCGTCTGGTCAGAGATACGAAAATCAAATCCTCGCAGGAGATTTATCTCTTCTCACTGCCGAGATCATTGACTTTTTTCTGGGCATGTCCCTCAAGGATGAGGTCTTGAAAATCATGCCAGTGCAGAAGCAGACATGTGCTGGCCAGCGGACCAGGTTCAAGGCCTTTGTCACCATTGGAGACTATAATGGACAAGTTGGCTTGAGCGTCAAGTGCTCCAAGGAGGTGGCTACTGCCATCCGTGGGGCTATTTTCCTGGCCAAGCTCTCCACTGTCCCTGTGAGGCATGGCTACTGGGGGGACAAGTTTGGCAAGGCTCACACCGTTCCCTGCAAGGTGATTGAGTGCTGTGGCTCTGTGTTGGTACGTCTGATCCCTGCACCCCGAGGCACTGGAATCATCTCAGCCCCTGTGCCCAAGAAGCTGCTGCTGATGGCTGGAATTGATGACTGTTACACCTCAGCCAGGGGCTGCACAGCTATGCTGGGAAACTTCACCAAGGCCACCTTTGATGTCACATCTAAGACTTGCAGCTACTTGATCCCAAATCTCTGCAAAGAGACTGTGTCCACCAAGTTTCCCTACTAGGAATTCACTGACCATCCTGTAAAGCCTCGCATCACAGTCTCCGTGCAGAGGACCCAGGCTCCATCTGTGGCCACCACATAGTGGATTTTGTATAACAAATAGTTAATTAAGTTAACAAAGTAAAAGAAACCTGGAGGACAACCACCTGGCCAACTAACTGGAAGAGATCTACGTTTGTTCTCATTTAAAAACAAACAAACAAATGGTGGCCCAACAGAGTGTGGAAATTATTGAATAATATCACTAATATTACATGCAAGCAAGATCCTGTTGAAGATTATAAAAAAAGTGATCAGAACACTGCAATCTCAGAGGTGCGCGGTTCGAATCCACCAGATGCTCTGCTGGAGAAGGAAGAACAATCTCCTCCTGTATCAGTCAGATCTGATTTGATGGTACACACAAAAAATACTGAAATTAAAAAAAAAAATATCAGAACAGCACATCAACAGAGAACTGCCCGAAGTGCAGGTGGGGTTTAGAAGAGGTCGTGGCACTAAGGACTGAGCTCACAGTCAATGGTAGATAGCGTTTAGCTCAAAGCAGAGTGTACCAGCGAAATGTCTATCTGTGTTTCCTTGACTATGCAAAGGCATTTGACTGCATGGATCATGACAAAGTGTGGCTAACTCTGAGAAAAACGGGAATCTCAGATTGTACTTATGCAAAACCTACACTTGGACCAGGAGGCAGTTGTCAGAACAGAGCAAGGAAACACTGCATGGTTCAAGATCAGGAAAGATAGACATCAGGATGTGTCCTATCTCCATGCCTTTTCGATCTATATCTGGAACAAATCACCTGGGAGACTGGGCTCTATGAGGAGTAATGTGACATCAGGATTGGAGGAAGACTCATCAAACCTGCATTATGCAGATGACACACTGAGGAGGACCTGAGACATTTGCTGTGGAACCTTGAGGGCTGTAGTCTTCAGTATGGATTGAAACTTAATATCAAGAAGACAAAGTTTCTCACCTCTGGGCCAACTGGCAGCACCATGATGGATGGAGAAGAGATTGAGGTTTTTAACAATTACAGCTTGCTTGGCTCCACAACCAACACTCTTGGTACCAGCAGCCAGGAAGTCAAAAGATAAATTGTTATTGTTTCCGTTGATTGCCATTGAGTCAAACATGACTCATAGAGACTCTATGAACAAAAGACTTCATGCCTTTCCATAACTATTGTCATTTCTCCAAGTTCACAGAGTTTCCAGAGGCATGTGGTTTAGGAAGTGGATGCCACTCCTGCTTCCAAACCTGTTTTACAACTGGGAGCTCCACCAAACGCTGTCCACATTGAGAAACCATTCTGGTATTTGATACCCCAATGGCACAAGGTTCAGAATTACAGCAAACCCAGGTTACTTCACACAGCACATTGACAAAGAGTGATGTACAAAGAGGAAGAGTGTTCCTCCAGATATAACAGCACCAGTCTCATTTAGCAGTGGTCATAGTGTCATCAAGTTGAATATGTCTGAGAGTAAGTAACTCTTTTCTATAACTAACATTTCTGTATGTTTATAGAGTTTAGAGAGTTTGTAGAGTTTCCAGAGGTATCAAGTTTAAGAAGTGGATGTCACTCCTGCTTCCCAGCATAAATCAATCTGGAAGCTCATCCAGACATTGTACGAGTTACACTGGGAAAATCTGTAGTCAGGGATCTCCCCAGGGTACTGAGAAGCAACAATATCAGTCTAAAGACTAAGGTGTACCTGATCCAGGTCATGGTCTTTGCTATTACTTGCTATGCATCAGAGAGCTGGACAATGACTAAGGATGACAGAAGAATAATTGATGACTTTAAGTTGTAGTGCTGGAGAAGAGTCTTGAACATACAAGGACCACCAAGAAAACAAAAAATGTCAAGAAAGAGAAAAACTGTCTTGGAGAGAATGAAACCAAGTTTCTTCTTGGAGGTTAGGATTTTGAAGCTTTGTCTCAAATACTTTGGGCATGTGGCCAGGAGGAACCAGTCCTCGGAGAAGAAGGACATCATGCTCAGAAGGGTGGAGGGACAGTGCAGGACAGGAAGACCCTGACGAGATGGATTGACACGATAACTGGGGCAATGAGGTTAGGTGTGTCAGAGTCAATGAGACTAGCTCAGGATAGGGCAGGTTTTAGATCTGTTGTACATAGGACCTCTGTGGTTCACAGGTAACTTGATGGCACCTAACAACAATAACAGAGGACCTTGACAATGTAATCACAGGATAAACTGACACCTAGTTGTAAGCATGTGCCCCCCCCCACACACACACATACCGAGGGGCTTAACTGTACACACTACATTGTCCTACAAAGACTGCGCAGAACAGCATTCATTAGGGGTGACATATTCTGCTGTTGTCTGTCCTCTTTATTCCCCCCCCTTTCTTTTTCTTTTTATATTTGGTCTTCAATTTACTCTAGTTTTCTTTCCCCCCCTTTTTAAAAATTAATTTTAATGAAAGTTCATAGAGACTTAGGGTTTCCAGTCATTCATTGTTGCACTTTTCTCCCTGCCCATCCCCTCTCCCCTGGTTCACTCTTCTCCTTGAAAAGTAAAACCCTTCCACTGTTATGCAATCCCTCCCCCCAAGTTCACTCATAACAGGAGTCCCCTTTCTTTTAATGTGGTGAAATCCACAGCCTCTGTGAGAAAGTGGCAGCAGGCAGATGGAAGGCATGGGAAGCAGTCCGCCTCTTAAGAGCAGGTAAGGACATCAGACTGCCTGCCACTGCCAACTGAAACCTCATCCTCAAACCTCAGTTTCCTCATTTTTGAAGCAAGATTGGTAGTGACACCTGCCTCCTGTAGGCTTTTGTAAGGCCTGCATGAAGGAATATGCGTCAGAGCCTCACTTTCATGCAGCCAAAGACTAGCAAATGTCATTTTACATTGTTGAGCATTGTCTTCAAGTCCAGCACGACTCATAGTGATCCTATGAATAAAAGGCCTGAAGCCCCTCTACAACTATCAACATTTATCCAAGTTCATAGAGTTTCCGGAGGCATGTTGTTTAGGAAGTGGATGCCACTCCTGCTCCCCAAAATTTTTTTTTGACCCACATGAATTTTTATCTACTGCCCAAAATGAAATTAATAGGTAAAACAAACAAGGAAACATTTTTTAGGAATGGTAGCTGCAACTCAGATAGATTGTTTTTACAACTGCTGCCCTGGCAAAAACTAACACTACTAGCTGTTTTGCAAAGGTCAGAGCTTCACATCCACCAGTGACTCTTAGTGCTGTCCTTTACCCGAAAAGTGGACTGTCCTTTCCCCTAATGTTTTACAGTTCCAGGAACTCAAGGCCGGGTCACCGTGAGTCATCCTCGATTCGATGACAGTGAGGGTTGGTTTGGTTTTGTCCCGGAAAAAGGTTGATGTGTGTTTCTCTAAGCATGTCTGCCTCTCTGTCTCTGTTTCTCTCACACACACTCTCATTCAGGCCTCGCTCCAATTCATTCCTGCAAATTCCCCCACCTGCCGCCCACTGCCAGCCGCCCGCCCTGTCCACTCACTGTACACCGTGATGCTGGTGGATTTTACTATCTGGGAGCCGTTGCAGAAAGCAGAACAGATAGCATCGTCATCAGCAGACACGTTGGTGAGCCAGAAGGCTGACCAGTTCGGTCCCCTGCCTGCTGGCTCCTTGGACAGGAACGTCTCCAGGGCAATGTTCTCAGGATTGGTACAGCTGACAGTGCAGTTCACCAGGATGGACTTTCCAAGAGGTAATATTGGGTTCAGAGGCTCCACCTGAAGTAGGGACGCCTGCCCTTGGGCACCTATGGGGAGAGAGGAGGGCTCAGCTAGCTGCCCCAGGGTCCCCCTACTCATCCCTCTGCAGGTGCCTCCTGGGAATGTCTGCCCTCACAGTGTCAGTCCAGTGGAGAAAACCCAAGACCAGGGAGAATTCTGAGAGAGGCCTGGTCCGGCCTGAACTGAATGAAGGCAATGTGGTCAGGGACGCCTTCCTGGAGGAGGGGGTATGTAGAGTAAGTTGTGAAGGATGAATAGAAGTTAGCCATGTGGGAGGAAACAGAGTTCCTGGCACAGGCAAAGACCAGGGGTCCTGATGACTAAGTACGTGTGTATGTCACAAGTCACACAAAGGGACCAGGTCTCAGAGGCCTGATGTCCAGTTAAGGAGCCATAGTTTTCTCCCAAGGACTTGGGGACACCCTCCCCCCCATCAGAATGGAGTACCAGGAAGGGTATGAGCAGGAACCGGACCAGCAGGATGCAGTTGGCGCTGCTTGTCCCACTTCCCACCCCAACTCACCAAACCCCCAGCCTCAGCCCTCACCTGGGAGCCACAGACAGCAGACCAGCAGCAGGAGGCCAAGCCAAGAGGCACAAGCTTGGGGAAGTCGCCCTAAGAGCGTCACAGAGGCCATCCTTTGGGGAGAAAGTTCTGGGGAGGTGCCCGCAGGCAGAGGATGGGTGAGACTCCGGGGACCGGAAGTAGTGGTGAGGTTCTGCAGAAGTCAGGGGCTGCACTGGGGCGAGGCCTCAGGCAGGGCAGAGGGTACTCTGTGGTTTTTAGAGGAGAGAGAAGCTACCTAGAGAAGTCTGGGGTCCTGAGTATGAAACGATGGTGCCGAAAAGTCAGGCAGATATAAGGTGCTCTCCAAGTGAACTTTCAGGAAGCGCTAACGCAATCAATTTCCTTTCTTCTCAGCACAGGGAGCCCGCAGAGGATGGTGAGACGTCTCCTTCCTGCTGAGCTGGGGTGAGGCAGCAATCTTGGCTCAGAGAGAAAGTTAAAGAGGACCAATGGGCACTAGCTAGGAGTGGCTATTCCTTAGAGAGGGACATCATACTTGGGAAGGGGGAGGGTGGGCAAAAGACACAAAGAACTTCAGCCAGGTGGACTAACGCAGTGACTGGTCAGAAAGCTTGAGGATGGCACAGGACAGGACAGGGTTCAGAGCTGATGTTCACAGGACCGCGACTAGACAGCACCTAACAACCACAATAACAACGGCACTTGAAGAAGACTGGTGGATTTTCAAGGCAGACTTTTGGAGTGGCACCAAGGGGAAATTCAGGGGTGGGCTCATGAGTTAGGGTGAAATTATTCTATTCCTGGAGGGCAAATAAAGGATGGAGGTGACCCTTCTACAAGGGGATTTCTGGAATGACCAAGGACATAAAACATGAATAGAACCCACATGCTCTGGGCACCAGGCTCTGTGCTGACCCCGCTTCAGGCCATGTCCCCCAAGGCCTGCTACCCTGGACAGTCTTGGGCATGCCCACTACTTCTGAAGATCTTAGGGATCCCCTACTCCCATCATGTGGTGCCAAGCAGGGTGGTTTGGGCACAAGTCATCCCTCTACTTGGAAGATGCCACTTGTTGGTTTTTTTTTTCCTATAATTATATTTTATTAGTTTTCATAAACATTTACAGAGATTTAGGGCTTCCACTCATTCATTGTTGCACTATTCTCTCTACCCTCCTCCCAGTTTGTTCTTGTCCAAATGCCACAGTGCTTGTCAAAGCCAGTTCTGATTAAT